AGCCATAGGGGCAAGACTATTTTAAGGCTGGAAGGTGAGAAAAGAGGAAACTATGTTAACACATCTGCAATTTGCTCATGATATAGTGTTGTCCAGTGAGGATGTCGGGGTGGAAGGGGCAGAGAATGTAAAATCCTTGATAAAATGTTTTGGATTGGTCTCAAATCTGAAGGTGAAGATTGAAAAAAGTTGTGTAGCTAGAATAAGCATGAACAAAGAGGAACTAGGAAGGATTGCAGTGGGTGGCAAATACAATATCTTGGTCTCCCTCTAGGAGGAAATCCAAGAAGCAGTGGATTTTGGGATCCAATTGTGGAAACGTGTACAAAGAATTTGTCAACTTGGGAGGGGTATTTTTCACTAGGCAGTAGCATAACCTTGATCAACTCAACTTTAGCAAACCTACCAGCATACTTCCTTATGTTCAGGATGCCAAGTGTAATAGCTAAGAGTGGAGAAGATCACGAGGGATTTTTTATAGGAGCAAGGAGACTCCAAGAGGGATCACCTTTTAGACTGGAGTATTATGTGCAAAGGTTGAGGGATAGGAATTCAACATTTCTAAGGAAATGGTTATGGAGATTTCCAATAGACTCCGGAAAGCTTTAGCATAATGTGGTAGCAAGTAATCATGGAGACACTCAAATGGTTGGTATGCTAGTTTAAATGCAAGGGCATCTTCCTTCTCCCCTTGGAAAGCTGTGATTCTATTGCTTCTTCATTTCCATAACCATACCCAGCTTTTTGTCGACTCTAGGAATAAGGTCACTTTTTGGGAGGATTAATAGTGGGGAGACAAACCACTCAAGAAAGTTAACTTGATCTTTACTCTATCTCCTCTCTCAAAGGTAGACCTATTTTTTCTTCTACATCCTCCTCTCTGGCTGTCTTGGATTTGATTAGTTCCTTAGAGTTTTTCTTTCAAAATCCTTCTACCTGATTCAGAATTTGGACTGCCTCCTCTTCTGGTGTATTCTCTTGCGCTTCCTTTTTTCATATCATCGCTTCCTCTTTACCTCTCATTCATAGCTTTTTATTTAAGGAAATCTGGGCTAAACCTATTCCTTCCAAAATTAGACTTTTTGTTGGGAGGTGTATGGTGTAGCACCAAGGATCTTTGACACTTTTGGACATAGGAGAGAGCCAATCGACATTGAGTCCCTCTTTAACAACTCTTTCTTCCTGGTAGCCTCTAGGAGAGCCAGGATGATATGGAAGTGCTTGAGGGGAGCAGCCTTTTGGGTGATATGGAAGGAAATAAACAACAGGTTATCAAAGAAAAGAAATGAACCATTGAAATGGTGAATAAAAGTATACAAATCACAGCCATACATTGAATCAAAACATTGAGGAACTCCATTTTCCAAGTGACAATCTGCCAAGGAATATGAGTGTAATAGCAGCCACCCTCTCCAAAAAGATGTGATATCATTGAGTTGGTCTCCCCTAGCAGCTGGTGGAGTTAAACTTTGATAGATGTAGTTTGTAGTTTGGGTAACCCAGGAGAATCTGGTATAGGTTGGGGCATTAGAGATCAAAAGGAAAGCATCATGGCACCATTTTCAAGACCTATTGGGGTGGAAAACTCAATAAAGCATAACTTCTAGAAGTATTGCATGGTCTAAGAATGGCAATGTCTCTAAATTTGAGAAATGCCGTAGTAGAGGGGGATTCAAACGTGGTTTAATGGCTTCAACAAAACAGGTAAGCCCCTTGGCAATATTGGTATCAGTTGAAGGAGCTTAGAAAGTTGGCAGGTTAAGTAATTGCAAGGTTATGAAAAGAAAAAGTAATTGCAAGGTTCACTTGGACTTACATATCAGCAAATGAACACTGATGCAATGGCTAGGAAAGGGATGAACAGTGCATATATGCTTTGGGGTAATCAGTTGTAAGAAATTATATGTAGGGTGAGGAAATACCTCACATAAAGTGATCAATACCACAAGGATGGTTACTCAAGTCTCACCATCTTGATACTACTATGTGCATTAACATTTTTGCAATTAATAAAGTTTTCACTGTTACTGGTCAGGAGAGAGAGAGAGAGAGAGAGAGAGAGGTTTGAGTCACATTTACATGTCTTCACTCTTTATTGAGAAAGAAGATAGGCGAACTCCATAGCAGATAAGATTTTGATAGGATGAGTGCTTTCCGTATAAGTTTCCACAATTTTCAAACCAAAACAAATCAACTTACATAAACTATTTGTGATGAAACAATTTTCAAGTTGTGAAGTAATTCAACACTTTCAAAAACTAAGTTGTGCTGTTTAGGCAATCCAGGAGAGCCAGGAGTTGGAGGGGTAGTAAAAGATGATAGAGGAAGCATATCACTAAACTTTTCAGGGGCTGTAGGTTTTTGCAATTCCTTGAGAGCAGAATGCTAGCTATTATTCAAGGCTGCAAGTTGATAGTACAAATACCAATGTTTTAAAACATGGGAGCATGAAACAAGGTGCTACACTACCTGGAGGCATGACGCATAGTTCAGAACGTAAGAGGCATAAACCTCCTTAAGAAGAGGGGGATGAGGAGGAAGAAGAAGAGGAAGGAGGATCTCATCATTTTTTTATTCTATCTTATGAAAGATATCTTGTATTAAGAAGAATGAAAATGCATAACAGTAGTTGAGGGGGATCTAGGGGGCAAAGCCCCCCAGCCAATGGGGTCTGAGGGCTTCGCCCCTGACCCAAACTTTCTTTCCCTTTTCTTTCCTTCCCTTCCCTTTCCTTTTCTCTTTTTTTGTTTTTTTTTTTTTTTTGATAAGTCTTTATCTTTTCTCTTTTATTCATCTCTTTCTTTCTTTCTTTTTCTTTCCCTTCCCTTTCTTTTCTTTTCCTTTCCTTTCTTTCTTTTATTTTTTCTTTCTTATTTTATCATTCTGTCTTTTTTGTATGAAGCATGCACGAGGCACATGAAGTGTACGCCTCTAGCATACCTCATGCAAAAGGCATATGAGATATACGCCCTTAAGGCATAAACGCCTTTGGTAGTGTTTTAAAAGCACAAGGCACAAAAAAAACACACAAGCCATTTTGCACCTAAGGCACAAGGCACAAGGTAGGCCACAAACCTTTCTGAAGCAACGTGCAAATTTAAAAAAAATTCAAAATAAATTAAGAAAATATTATAAGTAGTATTAATTAAAAAATCAAGATTTAATTTTAAACTAAATGTTTCAAAAAGCCTATTAACTTAAATTAAAATACATAAAAAACATATTCAAAGTGAAAATGCAAAAATAAAATAAAAAGTAGCATATAAAACATATTTAATCATATCAAACTTTATTTATTTCCCAATCACATTATTTCAAATAACTAATGTGATGTTAAACATCTTTTGTTCCTAAATTTACAAGCTGCCTTTGTACCAAGCCCCTTGAGGCAATCCCAAACAAGTCCATGTTAGGGTCTTAAAGTCTTAATCCCTACAAAAATGATTTTATAATTTTAATTATCCTTTAAAAATATCATTTATTAGGATGAACAAATGAACAACATTAGCAAATAAGGGTTCTTATAGCAAAATGCACAAATTTCAAAAAGGCACACACTTCGGCGAGCACATAGCCCCAAGCGCAAAAAGCACCAGGCATGCACCTTTAAAAGTGCTACTCATGAGGTGCTCCTCGAAGCACTTTAGGGGCACAACACCTTGCGCACAAAGTTGGAATGTTGTGATCATCAAGGGAGACTACCAAATGGAATGTAGCTTACGGTTGAAGTTGAAAAATAAAAAATAAAAAAAAATGATCGATTGCTAATTGAATGATGATGTCTCACATAAACAAGTATAGTTGTTTTGGTCAGCCCTACATGAGAATTCATGGCCCAATATGAGATTTTTCTCTTTTTTCTTCTCTTTCATTCTTTTTTTTCCTTTCCCTTTTCTTCTTTCTTTTTTCTATCTATCTTTTTTGTATGAGGCACATGAGACTTACGCCTCTAGCATTCCTCATGCAAAAAGCATATGAAGTGTATGCCCCAAAGGCACCAATGCCTTTAGCATATGCATCAAGGCGTTTTGGGGGCAGCTCACTTGGAGGTGTACACCTCCCACACCTTTTAAAACATTGAGAACAACAGAGTTGGAGTGCTATAATTATTGAGGGAGACTATCAAGTTATCATATATCCTAGCTAAATTTAGAGGAACCACCCTGGAGGTTCAAAGCAATGGTTAGAGAAGCTAAAGCAATTGGAAGAAGCCTGAACTGCTCGTTCAGGTGGATTACCAAACCAGCCAACACTCTAGCTAACGGCTTAGCCAGAGCAGGAGTAACAAGACAAGGGTGTATATGGAGCATGCCAAGACCTGGGATCGATGTGTAATTTTCTAGCTGTCTTCTATTCATTGTATGGTCGGGTCAATGCTGTGTTTTGTATAGTCTCTACTGTCTAGCCTAGACAGCCCAGGGACATTGTTTTTTAAGGCACTTAATACAAATACCTCGGTTGATTATTAAAAATAATTGTAAATGCAAAAAGGAAAAGATGAAAGATGTTAAAACATGATGACCATCTGATTAAATTCTAATCATACTTGAGATAAAAGCTAATAAAAATAGTGAAACACCAAAAGTATGCCTGTTTGAATTGTTCATTGGCAAGACTCCTCCAAAAAGAAGCACTAATCAACTAATAGAACTTTGGAGGAGTAGGTTATAAAACAATTCAAGAATTAGTATATTAAACTAATTAGAGATGCCAAAGCTTCTTATCAAATGCAAGTTTTAACTGGAATTGTCCAAGATTAATATGATCGGGTTTGATAAACCCATAAAAATGTAAAGTGACTTTTTGAAATTCCACAACTTGCACACACCAATGCAGAGTCCTTACAGAACTTAGGGTATCAAGATTGACAACCATCAGCATAGTTGTGGAAAAAGTTGTGTTGCAGATAAAAAGTACCAGCTATGATTTATGGACTAAGAAATCTTATGTAGATATAATATTCCCATAACAAGCATAGCAGCAAGAAGGTAAAAGTAGACCTTTGAAAAGAACTTTTGTGCATGACTTCTTATCTGCACGGCAGTCTTTGTTCCAATATGTTCTGCATACCACAAAAATAAAAACAGAAGAGAAGGAACAGATCTCCAAGTAAGCGAAAATACAGATCAATAGAGCGTTTTGGGTAATTCCTAACACGAAATATAAATGGATCCAAATCCATGGCTCAAAACAACAAAAAGAACTGATCATGGCAGCCACCTCAAGGCAAAAGGAACAATTCTTCTGCAGCTGTATGCAAGGAAGTAACCTGAATTTAACTTTCTAAACTAAACCAACACAAGGAATTAAAGACTGAACAAAACAGAACCTTCTATACGCTGCCATGCTCGCCCATACAGTCTCAATGCTTCTAGGAACTTGTTGTGCTCCTCCTCTGTCCATCTCTCTCGTTGTTTAGTTATTGTATACGGCTTCCTCGTCTACTATTGGGGAAAAATCAAAATTCAGGATCCTGAGCAAGATAATGGTCTAATTTCATAGTTGATATTATCAAAAGGAGGAAAGAAAGGGACTATGAAAAGGGGGATATGAATTTTTCACTAACAGTAATCACCTTTATGATCAAGTCTTCACCAGAAGAATAGACGTCCATTACAGGACGTCTGCAGCTAATCGCTGCTTCAAATCTTCTCTACAAGCAAGTGATGCATCCTCGTTCTTCCATCTCTCTCGATGTTGTATGCTCGAAACTAGTCGTGCTGCCGCAAACGTAACCTCATAACTTAATTCTACTGCAAAAGAGCAACAAAACACCGCGATAGAGATCCGTCTCCGCAACTAACAACAAAAGCTACTACAAGATAATAATACTGATCCACTAAAAGAAGAACCAAAATAAAAAAGAAAATCCCATTTTTTTTTCTTTTTCAGAATCCACCGCAGCAGAGACGCTTTTCTGAATCCGAAACAACTTTAACAAATCCACTAAAAGAAAATTCCCTTTATCACAATCCTCACCAAAACGAACCGGATGACGCCGGAACCTTAGAACGTAAAAGGAGCTGAATCAGTAATCAACAACGACCCGTAAAACGAGCCATCATCAGTTAGACGTCCTCATCAAAATCAGAAAAGTGAGGAAGTCTCAAAAGAAAAAAAGAAATAAAAAGAACTAAAAAATCCAAAACTCACCTTCCGAGACAGCCATTGAATGCTTAGACTGCCGGTGCTCTGACCTGGTCCCTGAGGTCTGATCATGAACAGAGTGAGTTCATCGGAGGTTCGCTGGTTGGAAAACAAAGATATTCCGGCAGCGATGGATCGGAATCTGAACCAATTAGTCGGGGAAGGAGGGCCCTAGCTGATAGGACAGTAGCAAAGAGGGGGGAGAGAGAAAGAGAAGGAGAGAGAGCGAGCGAACGAGAAACAAAGCAGTAGTAATTTGGAGTTTGGAGTCAGGCGTTTCAGAGAGAGCTAAAACCAGAGACGCCCTTGGCTCACAGAGACAAAACACTGAGACGCAACCTCAGCCACTACAATTTGTTGTGAATTTATTTTTGCAAGAAAAAATGGGGGATTTATTTGAGGCTGGCATGGAAGGAAAGGTAACCGGCTAGGGAGATGGGGATGTCAAGAGGAAGGAGTTCACAAGATGGTGACAAGTGGCATCACCGTAGTGGCGGAATGCTAACTTGACAAGAGCACCTCGCGCTTTTCCTGCAGGAGAGAGAAAAGGCGTAGACAGTAGAGCCGTTGTCAATCCTCATCCACAAACACCCACAAGCTGGGCCCTCGGGATACCTCCTCCAGGCTCCAGCGAGCCCGTAAAAGCGTATCTTCTATTCCTACAGGAACATTACAGCCACGTGGCGGCTGAAGGAAACTGTCGGTATCCGGTCATCTCGTTCTGTCTGAGTACGGGTTCTCTATACCGCCGTTCCATGTGCTTACTATTCTCTTTTTTATTAATTAATTAATAATAATTATGGTTATATTTGGATAAGCTTCTGCTTCGTGTTTGACTGTTTTCCGAACAACAAAAACAAACAAGCATAAAGTTTGCTTGGTGTTTTTACTGTATCGTTTTGTAATTTGGTGAATATTGTTTTTACCGGAAGTTGTTTAGATAATAGCATAAATAAGTGTTGAGGTTAATAGGTTATATTGTCTACCAAGTGTTGAAATTTATGATATAAAAATTGTCAATTGGGCCATGCGGAACTTATAAACGAGTTCATTAGAAAGTCATTTGAAGCCACAAGCTTAGTTTGGGGATAGTGCAAATAAATTGTATACTTCCCAAATTCAGTCGTAAGAACTAGTAAAAAGAGAAACAAAAACCTCCATCACAAAAGACTTCTCATTGATAAAGTTCCTGTTAACCTAGACAAGTCTACAATGCAGATCTGCTAAGCTATAAATGTCATTCAGAATCGGCCAAGCCTCAGGTGGGAAATCGAAAGACTTTTCATTGATAAGATTAACTATAGTTTTGGAATCACAAAAGATCAAAATACTTTGAATGCCCTTACTAGTAGCAAAGTAGCACCATTCTTTCACTACAAGAAAAATGAGCTAGGTTGGCGCTTACTAAACCGCCGGCATAGATATGAGCTGGTGGTTCAGTGGTCGCCTTCTATAATTGCGTCGCCCTAGGTCATGGACGCTAGTCTAGAAGACAAAGACACCGCCATCCTAGGGACCTGGTCCAACCATTCATTTGCTAGCGGTGTTTAGAGAACCGTCGGCTTATATAATGCACGGTGGCAGTCCAAACCGCTGGGACAGGCGGCCTTGACCACCGGTTTAGTTATTGATTTGGCCTTACAGGGCCCACAAGTAGCAAACAAAAAAGAACCAGAGTCATCTCTCACTACAAAACCAAAACCACTAGATACCGGGTTTGAGAACCTTCCATCTATATAGGCTTTACAAAGAGAACCCAAAAAAGATTGTTGTACTGCAGCTTGAGCTTGAGGAGAACTATGATGCAAACAATCTGCTAATTCTTGTTGGGAAGCTTTCTCTACTTTCCTCATCAAACTGTTAGCAGACAAGATAGTGAAGACAACATTAGGGATTACACTATTGAAAACAAAATCATTCCTCACCTTCCAAATTAGCCAAAGCATTATAGCTGAGTACTCCAAAGCAAAGTGCACAAAGGATGGATATGAGTCTAACTAAGCTATCCACTAGCCCCACCATTCTGCAAAGGATGAAGCAAAATCTAAGTTGGTAAACTAGAGATTGAGTCTACCACCAAACCATGGAGCTCCGGCATGATTACAGAGTCTAAGAGAGCATGAAGGATGCTTTCATTGGATCCACCACAAAAAGTGCACCTCTCATTTGACCCTATACCTCTATTCAAGGTTTTAAAAGACTAAAGGCGTAGTTGAGGTGCTATATCCCTAAAAGGTGAGGCGTAAGCCTTAAAAAAAATAATAATTACAGTTTATACATGGTAAAATTAATCTATGAAAACCAAGATAAAATGAAAAAGAATAGGATACAAACATCTAAATTCCATAAAACTGAAATTTTATAGTTTATATAACCAATAAGTCCAAACATCATGTCATCTTCATTCTTTTAGGGGGTGTTCTTTTTTCGGATTTTGAGAGGGGGAAAAGTTGGTCAATAGGATTTTGATTTCCATTGACCAAGAAACCCATGTTCTTTTATCAAATTTATGTGGGCATTAGGGAAAGTTTATTTTCCTAGGTATCACTTACCTGGTAAATAACTTTCCAACCTAGGGGGAAAATTGCCAACACTTGAATTTTTATGGACAAAATGGTCATTTCCTTATTTACATGAGAAATAAAAGAAATTGGGTAAATGCATTTACCCGGGTAAGTCTTTTCTAGGAAACACTTACCCGAATAAGTAACTTACCGAAAAGCGAATAGGGCCTTAGTGTCATATGCATATCCCAAGGTTTCATAAAAGAAATCTTCTCCATGGGATTCACCTTTTGCAACCTATCAAGAAAACATAAACCTTTTCCATGGTTTCATCAAAAAAATACCTTTCCCATGGATCTCACCTTTTCAATCCTATAAAAGAATCATAAACTTCTCCCATGGTTTCACAAAAGAAAAAAAACCTTTCCCATGGGATTCACCTTTTCAAACCTATCAAAAAAGTTATAAACTTCTCCCATGGTTTCATAAAAAAAAATTAAAAAATAAACATTTTCCATGAGATTCATCTTTTTCAAACCTATCAAAAGAAATCATAAACCGTTTACATTTCAGCTTTCAAATCCCCAAAATCTCAAATTATTTAAATTATCAAAAAGCTTCCATCATCATAATTGGCTTCATCCATAGGATCATATGAATACTATATATTTTTTCAAAATAGTATATAAGAAAGTAATATGGATTATGGAGAAAGACTCCCTTTTGGCTTTTGAATTTTTATTTGCATTTCTCTTTCTCTTGGAGGATGATTTATCTTCCTCCATCACCTCATCAATATAATTTTGATCAATCCCAACATCATGAAGAAGTGATTCAAAAGTAGGAAGTTGTTCTTGGGCATTTAATGCATCATTTTCAGTTATCCACTCATCATCAGATTATATTTCATCTAAACAAAGTGGATCCTCTATTGTTTTCTTCCTTGCTTCTCTTTGTCTCAACTTGAGATTGTACATGATATACAATGAGTTAAGTCTCTTTTGTTGTAGATGGTTCCTTCTTTTAGTGTGGATCTATTTTTTTTTACAAGTCACAAAATATTAAATTAAAATTTACAACTCATTAATATAGCATCAATCTTAACATTTAAATGTTAAATTGATTACCTGATTGAAAGAGCTCCAATTCTGCTAACAATTGAATGAACTTCATGTGAGACTTAACACTTTCATAGCAAACTTTCATAAATAAAACATTTTTTCCCTATTTCTCTTTCCCTTACCTGAGGTGCTTACCTATAAGATAGTGATTAGTCCATTCAGGGTCGTTTACCTATAGAAGAAGGCAGAGTTTGTTCCCTCTCGAAATTCCAAAAGCATACTTGAGAAAAGTCAGTTGTTGATCAAGGGTTCTATAGTCGAATTTCCTTTGGACCTCCCAAACCATAGTAAAGCCATCATTCTTGTCCAAATTGGGCTAGAATTGTAGTTGGTGAAGCATAGTAAATTCCCTGTGAATAATGCTTGATCCGGCATAAAACAAAGGTATCATCCTAACTTAGTGCTTTGTTGATTAATCAAAGAAGGGATTGGAAGCTATCCTCAATTATTTCTCTTTCCTCGATGATCCCATGAATTCAAAAAAGTCACTAATTAACCAGTTGAGCTTATGCATTAGACTTTTTTTAGCAAACTAGCCAAATCCATAGGATACACCTCAGGGGTCATCAAAGGGCTAAAAAAATGATGAAAGAAAAATAAAGAGGAGAAAAGAGAGAAGGAAAAAAAGAGAGAAGAATGAGAGTACTTGAGGGGTTTTTGCTTGGCATATATTATGTTCAACATGTGCTTCTTCAATATGTGACGTACAATCGATAATGAGATGAAGGGAGGCCATCATTGGCCGCTTGTTTGACCTTGTGCATTCAATCCTTGTAATATAAAGAAAAGTCCCCTACTTGGCCCTTTGAGCTGTTATGTCAACTTTTTTTTCATAATAAACACTTCCAAGCAAGTGGGCATCTAAATAAGCAGAGTGCAATTAGAGTAATCGAGCAAGAGATCAAACAAAAAAGGAGAAAAATAAAAATGAAAGGAGGAGAAGGGTAAAAATAAAAAACAAGAAGAGAAAGAAGAAAAGAAAAAAGGAATGAACTTTTGACAATTTTGTTGAGAATGAAATAATCAAGGAAGATTAATGCATTGGCAAAATGGAGAATCAAGAAATAGTCAGAAGAAACTGGAGCAGTTAAGGTAATTTTATAGCCATGGGATCCTTTGTGATGACATCTACGCATTAGTTCTGATTTTGCCTACCTATTTACATTTCATCCCAAAATAAAGTCATCTCTGATTAATAAGAAGGTACAATTCATGTTGATGAAGAATATGAAGTCACCACCTAAATTTTTGGGAATTTGGGAATTTAGGAAAACCCAAAAATTTTCAAGAAAAATGTTTTAGTTTTCTTTCAAATTCGTAATCTGACGGAGATGAGATTCTTAGAGTCCAAAGACCAAGGTACGGTGTGGGAAGGTGTTAGGCACCCCACACATGCTCAATTGCACTGACCTCTACTTCACCAATGTTCCAAGGAAATTTTCAAAACATTTGAGCTTGAAATAAAGTGATAGATAACACACTAAATTGACCAAAAAAACTATATTATACTAAATTAAACAAGAGAGAAAAGCTAACAATGATCTAACAATTAAGAGGAGAATAATAGTTAATAAGCATTAAACAATGAAAGAACACCTCAGTAATTAGCTAGAAAATTCAAATGACAATTTTGGCGCACAAATTCTAAGGTAGGAAACCACAAATAATAATTTAAAAACAAATAGAAATGGACAATATGCAAGGAATTCTAATTTGACCTAATACATATGCAGGGGATGAAA